GAAGAAAAGTTGCATCCAGTTACCGTATAGAATCTTTCTACTTTGTTATTGTATTGCGTTATAGATTTATCAGTTGTTTAACGGGGACAAGATTCCATTATCTGATTTAAAATAAGAAGCACTGCTATTCAGAATCAGTGGTTTTCTTATCTCTCTATTAATGAAATCACCTTGATTTAAAGATCCTATTGGTTGTAATCATCTACTCAAGTTGATATTTCTAAGTATTATGAATGTGTGTTTGCCACAGCTGGAGTGATGATTGTCATCTACAGTTATTGTAAATAATTTCGATCGAGGACGTATGATTAGTAGATCATTTCCAATAGCTTCAAAAGAAATACTGTCCACATATCTCGCTATGATAACACAATAACCAGGAAATATAGCATATTTTAAATTAGCAATGATATTACCACTCAGTAGCCTTTAGTTAATGTCATTTTAATGATTCTGAAGAGGTCCCTCGTTCCGAGTGTAAGTGATCATCAGCGACGACCAGATATAACAGGTTCACTATACCATGTAGGTGGAATGCTATCAGATTGATCCTGGATATTCAGAAACTCAGTAGGTATTCAACCTAGCTATATCACATAAAACTACCATATTTTCTCTGAAGACAGAGAATGGTTCAACGTTTACGACCTTATATTTTTTCCCTGAATGAATGCTAAAGTATCAGAGTCAACAAATCAAAATAATATTATGTAACTTTTTATTGAAAATAAAATATTTTTAAATGGTTCGCTGTTCTGTATGTTACACAGAGAATAGTATCTCCGAGATAAAGTTCCTATGTTTATTTAGAAATATGACGTCTATTCAGTCTTATCAAAAATGATACCCAGTTGAAAACACCGAAGTTGGTTTATCTCCCTGTCGAAAAAAGGTTCATATGATCGTCTCACAATTTTGTACCGGCAGTTTATCACAAATAACAGAAGACTTGTGTAGCAGTAAGTTTTCGTGTGTTGACCTTACCAGCTCAGTGGTCTAGAGGTTAAGCGCTCGCGCGCGAGACAGATAAATCCTGAGTTTGAACCTCGTGAGGCGGGATCGTGGATGCGCACTGCTGAGGAGTCCCATACTAGGACGAATAGGCTGTCCAGTGCTTCTAGGTTTTCCATAGTGGTCTAGTTTCAATTGACTCTTGAATTCCACTATTAAACTGAATTTCACTTAACTTTTTGTGGTTTATTAAACTAGTTCAATAATGCTATGTAATTTACTGGTATATCTCAAGAGTGTATCATGTAATGTCCTGGTTTAATGTAAAAGCTAATATTATGGCTGACCCCAACCGAATAATGAATAAATAGTACATTATAGTTTTTAAGTAAAATATAGGGTCAGGATTTTCAGACTGTGAACTTAAAGAACTATTCGCAAGCTACTGCAGATCATCAAAGTAGATGATCTGTGCTTACTAATCACCTTGAAAGATTACAAGATATCGACCTGATGTCCTGTGAGATGTTTGGCAATTGCATTGTTTAGTCTTTCTCTTATTCTGAGGCTTTTTGGAACATGTTCAACAAATTTGAGATACGATCACTGCTAACGGTCGTTCCTTAGACTTTCGGTTAACCTAGATCTGATTTTTTTTCGTTCTTCATCGTATTCAGAGCCTGACAGGATGAGTCTACGATAATCTATCAATGCAAGAGACTTAGTAGGAATCCACTGATTCTTCATAACCCTTTGGTTTAAAGCACAAATAGATGTCACTGCTGTTTCCACAGCTTCCTCGTCACTGAGTTAAACTCTAATGGGTCTTCGTAATGTGGTTCCCCTACGTCCAGAGAGGTTCAGGCAAATGCGTGCTCATATTAGAGCATGATTGGAGTCCAAACAGGTATTCCGGAACGAGCGACAGTTTCCTATTGAGCCTCTCCAACGATGACTGATGGCAATATGGTCCACTTGAGTCCACCGTTCGTTTGGTGCAGGCGGCCACCATGTTAGACGATGTCTCTCCTTATGCTTAAAATTTGTGCTTGTTAAGAATAAAAGATAGTCTGAGCACAGTTGCAATAGACGATCACCATTATCTGTTAGCTGAGCCGGAATACTAAGGGACTCAACTAAATGTCTTTCTGTTTGGTTTAAGCTACTTATCTGAGCATTAAAATCACCTCCTACGAGTACTATGTCTGAACGTTTAGCTTTCTGAAGAAGTTCAGAGAGCTTTCTGTAAAAGTCATCTTCCACATCATCCGGCTTGCAGTCAATGGGAGCGTAGGCAGAAACGACGAAAAGGTAACGACGTGTGTCCCTATCCTTCCGAGTTCTTACAGAGCCGTTTAGCCAAACAGCACATAGACGACTGTTAACGGGAATCCATTTTAATAGTACTTGTTCTGCCCTCGTACATAGTGCTATGCCTACACCTGCCAGTCCACGAGAACTACTCTTCGGAGCGCCAGATACACGAGGGATTTATCTCGTTGGCTCACCGTTTTGACGAGGTGAGGTCAAGTGAATGACCACATTAAGATCCTGTATGTGTGTTTCGGAGACACAGCATACATCAATGGTACGAGATTCTAGGGTTTTAACCAAGGAGGCCTGCTGGTCGATTTGATATAGGGTGCGTATGTTGAAGGCTCCAACGTGTAGTTTGGAGCGATGTTTCAATAGACCTGGGACAGTGTTTTGCGCACTAGAATCGTTGGCCATGGTGACACATGAGGAGAAAGTCAAAAGAGCAAGTTTAGAGTTGAAAGTCGACATAGGAAGAATAATAGGGATTGAAGGAGATTGATTATGAATACAGTGGTCTTGAGTGCTGTTAGAGGTATGAGGGCGGTTATCACTTCCCGGTTGCCCACGCCGTGGAAGGGTTCTTCTGGAGGTACCTGAAAAGGAAATTGGGTTAGGGGTGGTCTTAGTAACCTGAGAGCGTGATCGCAGTACCCAAGGGACAAATGCTTGACGTCGGTCACACACGACTCTTTTGTGAATAATTTTCGTGTTAGCTCCATACTTATTGAGACCTTACCTCCAGAGATAGGTATCCGTGGGATAAGGCACTTTTATAGTCGAGCTTTTATAACCCCACCCCTCCTTATGGGAAGGCAGCATGGCTGTTATGCTGGTTGTCTTAAGAAAACACCTTACTGCTGTCACACCTCTGTACAGTCAGCAGTACGACTTCTCCTTCGGACCTTGGGTTTTCTGCTTTTAGTCTTACCGTTCTTCAACCGACCTGTCTGGCATTGTAGGATCTTGGAAGACGATTGTTCCAACCAGTATAGTTCGATTGGTTCATCGCGATGGAAAAACCCGACGGTCGGGATAGCTGAAATATATCACAAATTTTTTCTCATATTATCATAAAACAATCATATTTTACTGATGTTTATTTCGCCTACCTGTCTAGGGATATAAAGGAACTGAGGTTTAAGATCATTTCTTATTATCTTAAAGGAATTGTGGTTTAAATGTTTGGTGGTAGAGAACAAGCCCATTGGATTTGGAGATTTGCAATATTCTGACTCTACCGCTCATAATCTGGCATACATCAGACTATCCAGATCTTTGTTTAAAAAAACTCATGCGGTGACATTATGTACAAACAGCAACGGTTACCTTTATTTATGAAGTTTGATTAAAATATCCATTAAATGGCGCATAATGACAAATTATCCCCAAATCTGACTGGTATTCGATGATTAATGCAAGTATACGAGGTTCAAACAATTGTACACCCATTTTGGAATACAAGACATAATCAATCATGACTATCAAATGTATTAATCCAACTATGTTGGTTATTTTATGCCCAATTACGTAATCGATTCTAAACAATCATCTGGATCTTTCTATTAGGCCTTTATCGGTCTGATCTATTAATATTGGACACATTTTAATTACTTGGCACTCCAGACACATTGCAGACCAAGCCTATCTAGTTTAATCCTGGATACATTTGATTACATTACAATTCCGGAGTATTTCCATGCTATAGTGATTATTGGTAATTCTAATGCCAGTGTTATTATAATTGTGGTACAAGTATGAAAGTCCCATGTATAGTAGTGATTACAGATAGTTGGCAGGAGTCTCTAAACGTAGGTTTTACGCTGTTCACCACTCGTCAGCAAGGTACACCTGCAGTCTTGAGAGAATGATGCTCCCTGATGAACTTGACCCAGTGTCACCCAGCTTCACAGTCAGGAACGTTACCATTGAGCTATCCGGGCTACGACTGACCTCCTATAGGACTGAGATGTACTTAAAATTAATTGATCACTGGGTAGTGGCCAATGTTATGTATGTTAAATTCTTCTTCGTGCTTATCGGATCCTATCGATCAATTTGCAATGAGGCCACTAGTTTAGGTGACTCAATATCAAGTGCACTGTGTTCACTTTTATCACAATTTGTAACATTTGTGGAAAATGATATCACTTCTATAAGATTGAAGTAATGGTCAAATTACTGAAATAGGTCAAATACACATTCAGCTAAAGAGTAATCGGTTGCCATGTTGCACGAAGAGAACTAATCCAGATACATTAGGATGCCCAATTAAATATACAATGCTCATTAGAATGCCTGATAAAATATACAATTACCATTAGAATAAATAGAAGTGTATAAGTAAAATATTACAATGTAGATAATGAGTTAAATAGATCGTTGGAGTTTTCCGATTACACAGAGCCACCAAAATCTTAAGAGGTGAAGTATCCCGACCCTATGTATTGAAATATTTTGGACCACTACATATTACGATGCCCTAACTGTAACTTCATTCAAAAATACCGGACTGGATTAAAGAGCTCTGTTAATAAATCCAGTAATCTAATAAGAGCTCAGATACCAGACTTTAAGTCGCATTCATGTAAAAGCAATTTTTACTAACCCACTGCTCAAACCGAATTGCGTGGAGCTCGATCTAAGCCCGTTACTCGCAGATTGATAAGTTAATACTTCAACCAGCAAGCACAGTAGTCCTATCATCACTATGTCGACAGTAAGATGGCAAAGTAAAAAAACCTCTACTCTGAAATGTATTATTATAAAATTAAAACATGGAAAATCAGCTAAATAAGAAATAAACAAAACTAATAATACTACTACTATGGAAATTATCCATAATAGCACAGAAAATTCAAATTGAGGCTGTGAGGAGGGGACAGAACCTGGAAAATGCACAAGACAACATAAATAAACATACAATTGGCAGCATAAAAGATACCTACACAGAATAATAACAATAATAAATAAATTACCAGCTTATATTATTAATCCCCTTGAACGAACGATAAAAATACAAGTATTGGGGTAAAAACAAAATGAAATAAAATATTATATTACTAACAAACGATATCAGTAGTTAAACAAAATCAGTAAACGATAATTAATCAACTTCGCAATTAAAAATAACAAATAAGCAAATGCAAAATCCGCTCAAATAATAAGTTATATGATTAACTGAATAAAATTATTATACAGTCTCAAATCATAGATTTTATTGTATAATTATATAGGTAAATAGATCAGATAAATAGGGGACTAAAACAATTTAATGCAGTATAAGAAAAATGTGACAAGCGTAAGTGCAGGTTCAGAGGAACCCACCGGTTTGTCAATTGGTCAAAACGAAAATAAAATGGTTTTTAGTTTTTCCAAAATAAAGAAAACCTGGAGGCAATTAAATATTGATGATTATAACAGACAATAGAAAAAGAATGCTGATTAGAATTTTAATCAACATCATTGAGGCTTTCTAACCTACTATTGTTAGATGAAGAGATAAGAGGAGAACCTCTGGGTTGACTGCATCGACGAAAATCAAGCATTGAAGATAATTCTGTACGGATACCAAGCGGTGGATGATAGGCAGTAGCGTTTAGATCTTTTGAGCATGGTAATGAAACTGATAGTTGTGGAGGACTTGGAGATATACTAGTTGAATGATAACTACTGGAATAATTTTCATGTGGGGTAGTGTTATTTTCAGGAGAGGCTGGGGGATCCGGAGTCCAGTAGCACTCACCTATATTGGGAAAAAAACCTGCATGTGTTTAGGACTATACTAAAATAATTTATATAACATACAAAATACATTGTAACTAAGAAAAAAAACATCACAGTCAAAAAAAATCCCAATGAAGATACTGTTTGTTAAGCATACAACATATGGATGTGGAACGAAAGCCGTTTCAGGATTTTACTCTAAACAGGTAGTGATTAATTTCAAGAAAGCTGTATGGAATTTCATTTAAATAGATTCTTTTAGCAATGGGTCAAAAAATCTAAGAGGGAACGTTTGATTTATGGTATAGCAACTCACGTGCAATTGAGTTTGTTCTCATTTAACTCAGTTAAGCCCTTTTGTTAACTTATTTAGCGAACAAAGTCATCCGTACTATAACAACTTATTGTACCTTTATTATTGTTGTGCTTGTATGAAATATGTAGGCTTGATCATTGCTTACCGCCTACACATATTCATTCTGCTAGCTTTATTATTAACTGCTTAATTGAGTCGATGATCCATTCATTTCCCTACATGTATATTTACACACTACACACTCTCGGTTCGCTGACTCACTCATTCACATCATTGCTTTGTGGTCTGAGTTATCTGCTAATAAAACTGTAGTCGCTGCTTCTCTTTGCCTTCTGATTTCAAACAGCGTTGAGGATTATATGGTAACGGTTACGAGGGTGATTGGTCAACGAAGCACAGCCACTACAATGGTTTATATTATGTGGTGGCTTTAACTAGGCAGCTAATGGAAACCATGAGGCACTGAGCAGTTAATTCGTCCTTATATAGGATCCTTCCGGAGTTCGCTACAATATTTCGAGCTCATGACCTTTAGATCCTACAGCAAGTTCATTATATTCAGGTTAATTAGCTAGTGGCATCTAGTAACTTACATTTCCTGATGGTCCTAGGCTCAATACCTGTTAGTTCTGCAGGGTGGGGGCTAATTTCCTATAACAACTGTCTAATGCTTTCTGGCTGTCCAAACAAATTCGTTTTGTTATGCAATTCACAACTGAAGAAGCTAGGACTTAACACTACATACTAAGAAACGTTTAACAATCCTCAAGGATAGTGTTGGTCCTAAATAATGAATATCGATTGCAATAAAATTGTGGGAAGCGAACAAATCGACAAGTGAATAACTAAACTGCACTGAATTCACTCAGATGGAATGTCGAGTTCGTGACACATTATCAATATCATCTAAAAACAGTACTATATCAAATTTGACTCTACAACTACTATTTATGACTGAAAAAACCCCAGACTTATGAATAAAATTTTGATGTACAGGAAGAACAATAGATATATGTAAGTTGATAATTTATGCAGAATTCACTGACATGAAATTATATTCTAATCTAAGGGGGGATCCTAGAATTTTGGAATACAGGATATGAAACTTCATATGTTTTTTTAGAACTTAGCAAACGGTGAATGTTCGTAACATGCTACACGTCACTGTATAGATGCTTAATTGAAGTGAGACACTAACATGCACCATTGGATGCCAGTTATGGTATAAGAATGAAAAACTAGAGGTCGCATAGGACGTTTTGGGTTTAGAACCTGTGGAGTCGTGGATGTGCAACACTAAGAAGTCCCAAACTAGGACAAAACAGCTAAATATCCTTTGCGTTTCCTAGTTTCCAATGGTGCGTTAATTTGACGTCACGAAGTGATGTTAATCAGACTTTTCTAAATAATTATTGCATGGATAATTTACTAATTCAGAATCCGGTAGTAAGTTGATTGGTGGATAAACAAAACTTCATAAAAATGTATGACATGATGTACGACGAGGCTAAATAAAAGTACTTGTTTTGTTAATTGAAATGAAGTACACAGAACATGAAAGATTCATTGTTATTGTATTCTAGATAGAATAACAACATATTGATCACTGGTTATTCAAATGAATTTTCATGAAGACATTTTTAATGACTAATTTTCTTTAAATGGTGAAAGTACAGTAATATCCTCAAAATTTAAATGTTGCTTAGAACCTAGTTCACAAAACTTGTAAATATAATAAATACTCGGGACAAAACTTAACGATCCTTAGTTTTTCATTGAGATCATGAATCGATCGATGTTATACCACCATTGAAAACCTGGAAGCAGTGGATGGCCGTTTCGTCCTATTGTAGGACTCCTCAGCAGTCCAGTTGTGTGTAGTTGATTGTACTGACTAAATATTTCTAAACTATAACGAAATGACTATAGTTATAATGTCGAACTCAAGATATATACGCTGACCTTGACAAGCTTTCAGTCAATCAGAAAGAGGTAAATATGAATGAATTAAAGTACGAAATCAATGAATAACTTGTTTTAACATAATTAATGAACTTTTCTACGTTGGCTACGGTATTTTGGACGTTAGAGTTTACGTTCAGTTTACATGTATCATAAAGCCTGCTTCTACCAAACAGTGAAGCGACATATTATGTCATCTCTTACTTCATTAAATTTATTCATAATCATTTCATCTTCGAACTCATGAGTGCTTTTATTAACAATCTACAGTCATGTATATGAGTGATGATGTTTTATTCATTAAAATTAACTACTACATAGAGGATGAATGATATATATACCATGACCTTGAGGTCCCTCTCTTAATCTTGATTAGTTCGTTATTACATACAAACCTGAACTTAATCATCTCTAGTTACCAATCTTTCTTCAAGCTCATGTCAATGTCTGTAACAATCTGATTTAGTGCAGATTATTAATTTATATGTTGAAAAACATATTGTGAATACACAAAGACAAATTATAATTATTCGCTAACCTTCTTCAACTTTCCCACAGCTAATAGAACTTCCGATTTCTTGATCAACTTTCGAAATCAATGCAGTTGTTGATGTTTTCTCTTCTTCAGGCAATAATAAAAATGATGAATTGGATAAAGTTACACATGAATTTTTCTTCGATTCGTCAACTGGAATATCTTCTTTCAACTTAACTGTATTATTATTATCATCACCACTGGTAAGATGTAAGTCAGACAGATGTTGTTGTGCTATAACAACACAGTTGTTGTTAACATGAATTTTCATATCTAGAACAATGAATGAATGAATAATTGGGAACTTTTACACATTAAATGAGGAAGGGGAGGAAAACATTGTGTCCCATGGTTGCTAATAATAAAACTTAAAACTTATTTTTAATAACTGTTAGGTAGAAAAATGGCAAAGTACACGTTATTCATATTTAAGAGGTGACGAAGAATGAGGGTAATAGAAAAGGAAAAATAAGTGAATAATTTTGTTTATGGATGATTCTGAACAACAGATATGTTTAGTGATACGTTAATACAATTGTTATTTTCGCCACTGTCAATGTTTTCGCAAAGCAAGGACAACAAATATTTTGGGATGCAATGAAGACGATATTATCTAGAATTTCGGAACACACGCCGAACAGTCCGATCATAAATGGCTCCAAACTACTTAGTAGTGTCATAGGAAAGCTTAAATTGGATACGGTTCATTCAAAGATTTTCTTCACCAGTGAGTTAAATGAATTGATACATGTTACACACCAAATCACATTTGTAAGACAATTTATTTAGTTATTTATGTAAGCCAGTGGAGTGGATGCGGAAATTTTAGGAGTGAGCACAAGAAACCGTGTTGCACGTATATTTTAAGTAGATACCACTAGGTTCGCAAACTTCTTAAGCTTCGCTACCTACCTGGTGTTCACTTTAAAGAGCACTGAATTCATATCAATGACCATACACAGATATCTATGTAGTACAATTTACCAGCCATTTTTGCTAAATGGTGGTAGCTGGAGATAATGCATAAGTTTTATCTAAACTAAATGATGAATAACTTAGTAAAAGGATTCTGTAAAGATTGTTGAATTTTATAGTCTACAACCTACGTCAAGAACTGGTCTGAGTTAGGTAACCATCGAAAACCAGGAAAGGGTTGAACAGCTATTTCGTCCTAGTCTAGGGCCCCTGAGTATTGGGCATTCATGACATCATCAAGGTTCGAACACAGAACTTTCAGACTACTGAGTTGTTATATAATGCTTTCTATTTTTATAATTTCAATTCATTCGTGATGTCGCAGAATCGTTGATGGGTAACTGTCTCACACCCAAAGATGGTTGAACCCGATTGGGTTCACGACTTCTGATTAGAACTCCAAGAATCCCTTTTCGAAATTAGTCATTAGTGAGTATATGACGATGAATGTTTGAATCACTAAAACATATCCCCACTGTCCAACTGTTTACAAATCTTTTTTACTGAAGAGGTTCATCATATACTTATAATACCTTCTAATACTTGATAACGAGTTTAGAATCAGTAAAATCCCAATATTATAAGATGCGAATATTGTTTACAATAATCAAAGTGATAAAATAACAACAATGGATGGTGGCTACCAATGGAAATCAGGACGTACACTTAGTTCTACTTGAGACTTCTTAGATGGATTTAGCTACACACCAAAGTTAACTTGCATCCTGTATTCTACTACTAACCACATTTCATCTATTTTACAATAACTTGTATAATACTGACTAATTCAAGGCAATCTATACAGGATGTGAACATATTTCAATCAAAATTATTCAGGTTTCAGTCAAAAAAGACATAGATATAACAGAATAATTCCAAGCCATTACAAGTTAAATTAATAACAGTGATAATTACCTGAAACTTTATCAATATTCTCTGTTTTTATTTCCAATTTTTGTGAATTTATTATTGAATTTGTTACAGTCAAAGTGTTGTAAATATCAACTTTAAAAATTGAATTGGATTCAGGAAGAGAAGAAACTTTCTGTTGTATACAACTCTCTGATGATGACGACGATAGAGTGGGTACTGAAGGATTAGTTTTAAAATCAATCACACTTGAACTTTGCGAATTGGGTTGATTATTTACGGTTACAGTGGTGATACTCATTTGATCAGTATTTGATGAATTCACTACTGTTGGAGTTGTTGTTGTGGTAGTGGTGGTGATGGTGGTTATAGATGATGAAATATACGTGACAACAGGAAGTAGACTGTTTGATGTAGCAGTGGTAGAAGTAGTAGTAGTAGTAGTAGTAGTAGATATAATGAATGAAGAGTTTCGATTACTGAAGTAATTTACTAGATATGTAAGTAATACAAATAATATAACGCTTATAATTATCATCTAAATATTAAAACATAAAATTCAGTGAAGAGATATCTTTTTAATGAAGTTATTATCACGCTATACAAATATACATATATATATATATTGGTAAATTGAAGCTCTTTTTAATCGAACTAGAATGCTATGCTCAAACAAAGAAAATAAGTGACGAACATGCAGTTATCGAAAATAACCTTATAAAAAATGGATAATCAAAAAAATCCCTTATGAAAAATGGAAAAGAGCATCTTAAAAATCATATATAACCGATTGTTTGCAAAAAGCCTGTCTTCATTCGTTTTCCGTTCACGAGAGATGAGATCTCAGGAAGAATTGATGGGAGAATCAGGGCGGTGCCTAAGAGGAGCGTTGCTGAGGCTCAACTGGTTTCACTGTACATTGGACAACTGGACGAATAGAATCACAAAAGCTCAGTGCAGCCTTCCTTAGATATGTTAACAAGTTCATTGAGTTCATGATAGTTTTCAACAACAGTTTTCAAACTTTACTAGAACGGGAAACGACTAAGGATAACAACCGGAAATGGGTTAAAAGAAGTAGTAACTTTAACAAGCAATGTGTTAGGCCGCAAGAACCACCAGCATATACAATTGGCTTCTGCAGACAAAATGGGCGAGAAAGGAAAAACAAGAAGACACCAGTCAACAACAGCCAGACAAGAGCAGAGGAAGCTAAGGCACAAGTCGAATACACAGAAGCGAATAAGTGAAAAAAGTATTAAAGAGCCGAAAGATCAAAATATGTAGAAGACCTGGCAAGGAAAACACAAAAGGCTGAAAGAGTGAAAAGTATGAAGGAACTATATAATACGACAAAGAAGCTAGCTGAAAAACGTAGTAGACTACAACAACCAGTTAAGAAAAAAGAAAGCAAACCAATCACTGAAGTTCAAGAAAAGCGGAACAAGTGGGTAGAACACTTAGAAAAGCCTATTGAATAGACCAACCCCACTGAACCCACCGGGCATCAAGCAATATACATAGACGTCCCTATAGATGTTACCTTACCAACAATAACGGAAACCAGCAAGGCCATCAAACGAACCAAGAGTGCCAAAGCAGCAGGACCAAACAGCATACTTACGAAAGCGTTGAAGTCAGATATAGAAGTAACTGAAAAAACGCTCTACACCCTCTTTCGAAAGATTTGAGAAGAACAAGTAATAACAGACTAGAAAAGATTTTTCATCAAAATACCTAGGAAGAGATCTTACGTAGTTTGAGAACGACAGAGAGATCATACTACTGTCAGTGCCAGGCAAAGTTTTCAACAATGTTGTTAAATCGAATGAAGGATTTACTAGACACCCAGCTTCGAGGTAAACAAGCTGAATTTTGTAATGATAAATCGTGTATCAATCAAATTGTGATACTGTAGATCACTGCTGAACAGTCAGTCGAATGGAACTTGTCGCTATACATCAACTTCCTTGACTATGAGAAAGCATTCGATAGCGTGGATGGGAGCACTTTATAAAACCTTCGAAACTAAGGAGTACTTGAGAAGATTTTTACTACCATGCAGAACTCTTACAAGAGACTGAATGGTAAAGTCATGCATGAAAAGCTTAAAAAATGAATTTCAAGTGAACACCGGTGTCAAACAAGGCTCCTTACTCTCTCCATTTCTTTTTATTCTGGTTGTTGACTGAATAATGAAGACCATAATATCTCAAGAAAGGTATGGAATAAAGTGGACACCTTGGCTACAGCTGGACTTTGTAAATGAATTGACCGCCCTATCATATATGCAGCAACAAATGCAAAAGAGGATAACTAGTGTTACAGTGACTTTCTCAGAAGTAGGCCTCAACATTTACAAGAGGAAAAGCAAGATCCTGAAATACAACACAGTGAGCACTAACTAAATCACACTTAGATGGCGAAGGTCTTTACATACCTCGACAGCATCATTGGTTAATACGAATTTGCTGCAGATATGAAGGCACAAATTGGCAAAGCAAAAGGAATATTTCTACAATAGAATAACTATCTGGAACTCCAAACAACTGTCACTCAGGACCAAAATCAGAATTTTCAACACAAACATTAAAACCTATGAATATTCCTCGATATTAGAATGAAAATTTTGACAAAAATTGGACGCCGAGTATGGAGAAGTCATTTTATGTAAAAATTATATTTGAAATAACCTCAGCGATTGAAATTTAAATTATTTCGAAGTTTCGTCAGTAAACTTGTTTGGGCTTCCTCAGGGTAATAATCAAAATCAAAATCATCAATGAAGCATATAGCGGTCAACAGACAAACCAAACCAGATCCTTACTGTGCTAATCCAACTGTATTTAAATGTTGACTTCGGTAAGTAGGATAACATGAGTAAGTTATATGTGAATCATGTGGAAAAGTTCGCATTGTGAATATATATATATATATATATATATATATATATATATATATATATACATATGCATATATATATATATATACATATGCATATATATATATATATATAACACTCTTTCAAAGTCAAAGGATAAAATAATAGTGAAATATCAACAATTCAATTTACCAGGATATCGATTGTTGAAATTACCAGGTGAGGAGTTTTTTCTTCCTGAAGTCTGATTTCTTTTCCACCCCAATGAACCTATGGTGCATCATTTTTATGTTTAAAAGAAGATAAACGTAGATGGTCACCAAAATCTATAAATATAACATGCAACACGATAATTCAATATTATTGATACTGTAGTGTCGATTATTATGTTGAGCCCATATACCTTATTCTAGCTTTCGGACAGTCCATTCTATTCATTCTGCTTGAGCCACATTCTGACCTTGTTATTTATTCGCTTATCAATCTTCACTGTTTTTATATGAGCGTGTAGGTGTGTGTACATTTCTTATCTCACTACTCAACACATGTCTGTAACTTACTTTTGTGTGACTAGAACTATTGATTAACGCTTGGTTAAATGAGAGTTGGCTTACCAGCCATCTCCACTGTGTGTCGTTTCTCTTCTTTCTACTCCATTCGCCTTATATACAAAATAATATATGTATTCACAAATCCATCTCATCGATTTAAGTCGATGATTATATACGATAGGCAACATATATATTCCAATAACAATCAATAATTACAATACTCTTGGAGTCAGATCCACGGGCCACTAAAATACAATCTAATTTGAGAAAATTCCTTTAAGGCACAAGGGAAAGAGATAGTAACTCATTTACCAAATGGGAGTGTGTGTGCTCAGATTTGAGTCTTTTTGTTTGTGTGTAATTTTGTCAAAAAAATAAATGATTCCATGGAATTAAAAAAAGGAAACTGAAGTCAACTAATGCACAAAGTACTTGAGTATGTGCCACTCTCTAAGCGTGATGAGAGCTAATAATAATATCTAGTTGGCCGAACCAAAGTAGGTGTAGCGCGACGCGAATCTGGGACTTAGTGGCTGAACATCTCTTCCATAGAATGAAAGATCCACGACGCTATATAAATACCACAACATAACTTATATTATTATTATTATGGGTTTAAGTTAATCCGTTGTTGATATTTAGGACTGAATACTGATTAGATCTGTTTCATGTATCATATGTGTATCGTACGGATTACCCTGATACAGCCGTTTTGTTACAAGTTTTATGAAAAATATAGATCGTGGCTAGCAAATGAATCCAGAGAGACGGTATGTTTTATTTAATTTGGAACTCGTTAGTTGAATATACCAGCATCCAACTCCATGAACAACTTGTGACAGAATTTATATTATCAAGGTGACCAGCACAGGATTCACATATGTCAACAAAGACTGATCACACACCAACAATGATATAAATATCATACACATTGAACAAGTTAGTGGTTATTTGAACTCAGTAACTCAGTGGATAACGCATTAGCGTACGAATTGAGAGGTCCCATTATGAATATCAACACAGGGATGCTAATAAATTGAACTGGAAAATCGCAAACAGGATAGAAAGGTGTGTCCTGGACTCCATTGTTAGCCATAATGTGTGGCTATTTCATAAGACTAATATCACGGTTAAAGAAATGAAGTAGAACCGATAGCTAGTAGGAAGCACTAAACCTGTTTCATGACTACTCATGTTATTTGATATGAGATATTTGTAACTAATTAGCGAAAAGTCTTAGATATAAATTCCGTAATCGTTATCATTCATCAGTGAAACCTTGTGAAAACTAATGATCTATTATAGAAACTTGACCAAATATATGGAAACAATGGTGGTGAGTTACAAGTTAAATTAATGTTTTTGTTGAAAAATACTGCTTGTAATGTAGCAAAATGACAAAAATATTGAGCCTTACGAAAGCGTAAGGAGAACCAAAGCTTTTGATAGTGACATTTGGGACTCTTAATAAACCAAGTATTCTATAATTGTCTCAATTCATTACCATATTCTTGAATCATCTTCATTTCTCCACACGCTAATATAAATGAAGTATGAATCCGCCAGGGAGCACCAGTTCCCTCAAGATTACAGGTACACCTTGCTGACGAGTGCCAAGTAGCACGAAACCCGGGTCCAGGGTTTCCTGTTGACTACCTCCAACTACCATCTAAATATCAATACATAGTGCCCGCAGTGTCGAGTCACCTAGACTGGTGGCCACATTGCAACATGATCGATAGCATTCGATCTGCACAAATAAGGACTAGACAAGCATGACATTGATCACCACCCAGTGATCAATCAATTGTGATTACATCTCAGTCCTACAGGAGGTTAGTCACGGCTCGGATAGCTCAGTGGTAACGTCTCTGACTGTGAAGCTGGGTGACACGAGACCGAATCCGCCAGGGAGCACCAGTTCCCTCAAGATTACAGGTACACCTTGCTGACGAGTGTCAAGTAGCACGAAACCCGGGTCCAGGGTTTCCTGTTGACTACCTCCAACTACCATCTAAATAAATGAAGTATATAGAGATTGAATAAAACAAACATATTGATTACCTTATTAATTATTGTTTGGATTTTTCAATAACTTACCTGTATTCATAACCTTCCCCATTTGATTTGTAACATATCCACAACTTTGTTTACGTCTAGGATAACTACTACAACTGCTTATCGCAACACCACAAGTGTTACTACTGACATTATTGCTACCAGGCCCATGTGTTGTATCACTAATAGTAGTAGTAGTAGTAATAGTAGCTAGTGTAACAGGTAAATCATTCACTCTACTACTGCTACTACGACCAATAATATTTGATTCAATTATCGAGGGTGAATTATTACCACTATTATTATTACTACCATTATTATTAGATTGGGAATTAGCGATTTGCCCTGATGAAGAATTATCAGATAAACTAGTTCTTGATGAAGTCATGTCATTTGATGATGATGGGCTGTCATGATTATTAGTGGAATCACCAGACGTGGTAAACTGATTATTAATAGCTACTGTTGTCAGTGTACCAGTATTTATTGTTGTTGCTCCAGTACAGCATGATTTTGTAACAATATTATTCGAATGTAACAGATGTGCATGAAACTGTTCCCATTCTAAAAAAAGAATCAGAGGAAATAATAACAATACTTGAAAAGTATCAAATTAGTACCATGTAATGCAGAAAAAACGACCCAGCTAATTAAGCTCTGAATTACGTCTCACAGTATATAACTGTTAAAACTGAATTTTTAGTAATAGGTGATTGAGAAGATCGACGAATTTAGTAGTTTCATACGACGGACTCACTGGTTTTCGACAGTCACCTGCTCAACTAAGGTCAACCTATGGAATCGAACTACAAAATTCGGCAGTCTTTATAATCATCTATGTTGGAAATCTATTATGTGCTTATTAATAACTGACTCTGAGAGATAATTCTCGGAGTTCTACTAAGATGTAACCAGTGGAATCTAGTTATGTCGGGAGTGAGACAGTTAAAAATGGCATTGGATGGTGCTAAACAGTATTGCAGACTGACTGAAGTTAGACAATCAAATCACTTGATCCCGGTCTAGTAGTCTGAAGGTTAGGTGTTCGCTGGTGTCATGAATATGCACTTCCGATTATTTCTACACTGGAACGAAACAGATATTCAGAATTTCCCCGTTTTTAATGGTTGCCTAACAAACTAGAAGTTAAATTGGAATATGACTAATTATTGGACAACTGTGTTTTTATTACTTGGTCAGGAAACTATGAGCCAAACACTATAATGTAAGATCTATTGACATTATCTGACAAGTCAAACGTCGATAGAGAAGTTGGGGTTTGCACTTGTAAATTGGTAACTGAAAATTACGTGTCTAGGCTATGCTAGGGACTTAATCTAACCAACCTATGATTACTATTAGTCTCTAGTTTGTACAAAGAGTAAGATCTTTGAGTAGTGCTGTTGAAATCTGGAAATCGGCTATAAACTATTTCAGTCTTATGCAAGAGATGATGCCTTTAATACAAAACTTTACACTTCCTAAGATACTTAGTTATACAAACTAATGAACCAAGGGTTTCGTCGTGAACTTACTGCTAAACTGTTAGTAGCACCATTTCTGACAAAATGAAGAAAACTACTTTCCGGAAAAAATAGCCTCGGAATTAGGATCACTAAAATTTATACGTGGCTCGTTTGAAGAATTATTTATATAACTAGTTCCTGAATATTAGCAATGTTTAAATTATAGGATATACCAGAAACCTTTTTAAATATAGAGTCATCTAATTAATGTATAAATAGGATGTAACTCAGAAACTCCATTTATCTTTTTGTAAATGAGTTTGAGTTAACGTTTTGCATGGTAATCGATGTCTTGAAGGTTAAAATATTCGATACTTAGCTAGTGAATTGTAGGTTCAAGCTATGTTCAGTCTACTTCGGTTTGTAGAGCTGAATGGTATCACTAGTTGTCACTCTAAAAACTGTAGCCTAAATTTAAGATGAACCTGTACTTAACATATATATCCGATTATTTTGTATGACGAATAGCGATACCATCTAGCTATCAAAACTGAAGTGGTTTGTTTTAAAACTGTTTCGATGGATATTCAGATGGCTTTTATTGACATATCTTACTTTGACTATCGATATATTACATCAGTTTACTATATACGCAAAAGAACTTATACAACCGAATAATTAAAGCAATCTCCGTGGTTCATAATAATTTCTAGACAAAGGTGAGTACAAGAAATTATTGAAATGTTACCTGAAAGTAACTTAGAATACATTTCTCACTTATTGTTTTCACCGTTATGCCACAATTTATTCTCGTTAACATAATTACAAATTTTTAAAAATTTAAGTGAAATATACAGCTTTTGGTTTTATTTTATATAAATGAAAATGATTGTTGTTATCATGTACAGACTCAATGAAAATCACTTACGACTGATCATGAACTCTTGTAAGTGTCTACTTATCGCTGGTTTCCATTTAATGGGGAATGAATTATGTCTTATGTTTTGTTGAAAAGTTGAAGCAGTTTGATGAGATGTAGAATAATGTGAAGAATAATGATGACTTGAACTAGTCCCACTGCTTATCCCACTGGCGGAAGATGAATTACTACTTTCAACGACACTACGAGAGGTGTAATTTTCTTTAGGACAAGGATGATTATAATGATGATGATGGTGATGATTACCATGATGTTGAAAATGTGATGAATGAACACCAGATGAATAATGATTAGAACGATGAGAAGGATGAGATGCTAACTCTTTGCATGAACATTTGTAATTAATATTATTTCGAGAATTACGACTAGAACTAGACATGGTAGTAGTCGATTGACTAACAACAATCACTGAAGTAGATGGATTTGTCAGATTAACTGACGGGACTGTAACAACAACAACATTATTTAAACTGTTAGCTGTATTGCATTGGCCGTCCCTATCACAGTTCGGTTTATTAAACGTTGTGGATGATTCCGGTAAACCACCAGTAGATCTGATCATCCTGTATAAAAGTTAGCACCGAAAATATCAAAAAAATAAGTATATGATTTTTAAACAATATTTTAAAAAGGTTTAGCCAAATCGAAGTCTCATTCATGATAGTACTCATGGTACTTATATGACACAACAATTACAGTTTTCTAATATCCACTACCAACGGCCATGTATTAAAACTACGATTTAAGACACATAGTACCAAGGACTAGTTAGTGAATTAGATAGTTCACTATTATAGATTGCGTAAATTTAGGAACGCCAGTAGTATTTTTTCTCAATGACACTGAAATTTCTATCAGTTAAACATTCTTACTGATACAGCTACGAGTTAGTGAAGTAGTAGGTAACTCAAACCATTTTATCGCTAAAGCAGATGTTGGCGCAGATCGGTTCTGGATCGATATTTTCCAGTTATAAAATCCATACTAATGTTAGGCTACTCACAGTGTCGGACAGATTGCTATTCCCGACAAGACTATACTTCGCCAAAAAAGCAGACGAAAATAAACATCGGTTAATTGAAATAACATTTTGTTTCACTGAGTAAAAATAAAGATAATTCAGCGAATAAAATCTTTACGATGAAATAATTTACTTAAGCTGTACATTTGTATTTACAATTGTATAGTCAATACGTCTATAGAAGGATAGAAAATATTGCATTATAAACTGATTCGAGACTAAATATCAAATGAGGTTGCGTAATAATCACACAAACATAGATACAAGGGAGCACCAAACACATACACACCACGCAATGAAAGTGAGGTTGTGAAGAAATAAAGAAATGGAAGTGAATATGATAAAAAAAGAACAGGAATAAGTATATGGTTGAGAAATAATAATAACAATAATAATGGATAAAGTAGTTCAGTTAGGAAAAATACAATCAGAAAGAATCCTTTCAGTTAAAGAAGTTGATCTGACTCTTATGAAGGAAGTAAATTTCATTTTTTTTATTTATTTGAACACAAATATTGGTACAAGAGGGCACCAAATATATATTACAGCATGATTTCATTCGCCTCTATTCTCAGCCATGTCTGATAACATTTCAAGTCACTGAGTTGCACCATCTCAAGAATCCCAGTCAGGGAGTCGTGAAGAACCAACAGAATCCAATCCTGTACGCCTTACTTTCATACCACGACAAAATGTCATACATTGACCACTTCACCGTCTCTGATAAGTTCCAGCATCCACAAATACTGCACGACGTGCAATTCGATGGAACGACATTCGCAGTACATGTTCAAGTCACTAAAATAGGTGTTTCAAGATGGAGATACTAATTGAGTTATCGTCTCTGTGCCAGAACACACATTGCTGAATCTCTGTATTACTATCATGGTGTTGCCATCGGATGTTAGCAATCCCTCAGAGACAACGATTATCAAACATGGAGAGCCGTTTAACACCCTCAACTCGGAGAGTCCAGGTTTCACAAGCATAGAGCAAAACTGCTCTCACAAACGCTTTGTAGATCCAACCTTCTGCACTCAGACTGACATCACGAAGACACCAAAAGTGGTCCAGATTTGCATAAGCCGCTCTGGCTCTCACCATACGTCAATTAATCTCATTATCTACGCCACAACCAGCACCTGTGCAGCTACCTAGATACACAAACTTCCCAACTACTTCTATCTGCTCACTACCCGGGGTGAGTGCAGGATCAGGGGTCCTGTCAGTCTTGTAAAGGTACTTTGCACTTCGAAGGTGCAAAGCACATGCCATACCTATGAACATTGATCAAGTGCGGAATGTGTGGATCAAGTATTATAGCACAGTAAGACAATATCATCTGCAAGCTCAGTCTTTCTCTAAGCAACAGAACCACGCCACCACTATCTGCATCCATCAGAACTGTTTCCAGGATGTCATCGATAGCAAATTTGAAGAGCAGGATTAAACGAGGATATAGGAATGAAGATAATTTACGGGTCAGATTTATGAAAGATAATAGCCCGCTCGACAGATAATAAAAGCGAAAAACCTGAAGGTCATAACAATAACTGAACAATAATCATAAAAATCGTTCAAATTGTAACAATGAATGATTACGGTTTGAAATTAAAAACAAATATAAAAAACCAGGACCAAAACATACTACAGAAGGGAATTAGGGCCAAGAAAAGATGAGAGGTTGGACGCTTTGTACGCAGAGTTAAGGTTTAAATTAGTAGATCACCAACGCCTCAGTAGCACATAAGTTTTTAAATCAACTTCTCTTTGATCTAGTTCCTTTGATTGTGTAGATTATTTTAAAGTAAGACTCCTTCGAAGCGACGTGTCCAGAGTTAACTAGATATTCTGTATTGAAATGGTAACTGTTTTGAATTCTTTTGAAAGCCACGCCAGGCAATGTTGAGGTACATTTATGAAGTGATCGCTTTGTGCGGCCAATGTGACCTGTCTCAAAGTAGCAAGTAAATTTATAGATGAACGTTGACGAGACCCAAAGAGGAAGTTTATCCTTAACATATCCGTGGACGGTAGGCCAGCTTGAGAAGACAATGCGGAGCTTAGCTGAGTAGATTTTATTCAGTGATTTTGAAATCCGTCCATTCAAGATTTCGGCAGCCGTATCCCCTTTGAATTCAATATTCATAGAAAGTTTTCTTTGGAATTGTTGATGCTTTTTCATGATGTCTATGTGTCAAGTTCTTATCGACGAATTTAGGTGGATAACCATTTTTGATGAGTCTGTTGAGGATGTAGTTCATCATCTATAACGTGATTAGAACATATTTACCTGATCCTTGAGAATAAGGAGTGAATTAATTTTTCCTTTCTACTCAATGGGACCCAGCTATGAAAGCTCGCGTACTGACCATCCCAGGTCGGTTTTCTATATACAGATCTCTGTAAACAACCATCTGACCTTTTCAGTCGGACATCAAGATGAAGTTCTCGTTCGAATCCGCTTCCAACGTGAATTGGATTGAGTGATGACAATTATTGAATCGACTCAAAATTTGATTGAGATTTATATCTTCACAAATAATGAAAGTATCATCCATAAATCTCTTATATGAATGAAATCGCTCAATTATTGGTCGAAGTACCATATTTTCCAGATTATCCATGAAGCAATCATCCAAGAGGGGACCTAATGGTGAACCCATTGCAATTCTATCTGTTTGCCTATAAAAATCATTGATAAATCTGGATTTTACATTGAGAGCAAATCGGATAAGCAGCTCTTTTAAATAATGTTTTGTGATATAAATGTCAAGGTTGTTATTTTCAATGTAGTCACACAAAAAAGTTTCTGTGAGTGAAACATGTTTCTACCATAAACACTGATAATTCTAATTGAGTCGACAGTCAAATGAATCAATACAGTTGTCTGCTGATGTGACTTTTGACGGGTTGTAAAATATCACCTAACCATTTGGCAATAAAATCATACGGAGTTATCCACATCAAGTAGATGACCTAGGGGGGATTCTTTTTGTGAACTTTTGAGAGTTCGTATAGTCTCGGTATAACGGAACCCCATGGTCTAAGATGTTCAGAGAGGTCACAAATGATAATAAACTCATCATTTTGTGAGGAATCGTCTACTTGTAGGTAGTGTTTACATATTGATTACAACAGCCTACAAGTTGTTTTGAAATGCTTATAATCTTTATTATATACTGGGATAAGGTCACTTGCCGGACGAATGAGTCTTCCAAGTTAGATGTTAGCGGAGTTCATTGATGTTTAGAACCAAGAGATAATGATTGTAGCTGAACAGTAGATAATTATACACTATAGTTCGAAACTTTCTTGGCATTTCTGGAAAAGCTTGAGTCTCCGTCGGTCCTAAAATTTCCATTATTTCAAAACTACATCTTTTGTACGATTTCTGATAACAGTATCAATGGATTTTTGAATTTGAAACGTTCATCTTTGACAAACCATGTAACGTGTGTTTGTAATGAAATATATTTACTATACAAATATAAATACGAATGCACAGCTCTAGTAAATGATTACTTCGAAAAGATTTTCTCAACCAACTTTTCTCTGTTTTTAAATATATCAGTGAAATTTGTAGCTGAGCTTCAAACTAACAACATTTACAGTGATCAGTTTTCATCAATTAAGTGTAGCTTTGATCCTAGTAGTGTTGTACTATTATACTTGTGCTTGAGTTAGCTTAAATTGTTTCGAGATCTTAACTATGCGGTCAGAATAAAAATAGGATAGTTGTTAAACTTAACTTGACGATGGTGTACATATGTATCCATATTGCTAAAACATCATCTTCCTTGTCAATTCTCACTTAGAGTATATTAATACATTTCGCCCTTCACAGTTGAGAAATTTTAGGCACATTAACGAAGTATTATCAACCCAAATAACTATGAATCCATAAAACTTTAACACATTCTAAACGATAACAGGACATTTATTCTACCTCAAGGTAAAATTTCATCAATATTTAGGGACAAATATACTCCATGTGTGAAAAATAAAAGCCACTACCAGGAAGCTTGGTTTGCAGATGATAAACAGTGAATCTTCTGAATAGTTGGTATTATTTACTTTGTAAATATATGGTTATATCCATAACTAACAACGCACATAACGAAGTCATTTTCAATTCAAACAAGACTCAACATAACACAGGGTATGTTAAGTGTATGCTTTTTCAGGGCTCAAGCGTGTTCTGGTCAACTGTCCACCAGTTCCCAGGCACACACAATACAGTTTGAAATGACTTACAGACTACTAAGGTCGAAATACCCGGGTATAAAGAGCTCAGTCTTGAAACATTCCAACAAACCTAACATTCAATAATCCAGTCTTCAGTTTTCAGAGGTCAGAACAGAAGTTTAGGTCCCCGTGTTAATACTCACAATGTTTGATTTTTCAAAGGATTAAGGTTGCCTGAGTAAGTCAACAGGTACAGATAATACATGAATTTACAAATATGTGAATACAGACAGTTCGATCTAGTTTTTATTTCATTTCTGAGAATGCCCGCTCAGATCATTATTCTGAGAAAAAATGAAAAAAATTTTCATAACATTGTCACTATCATCGCTCTGTAAACGGAAATCCAACAATAAATCACCTTATCAACAGCGGCGTGACAGCGGAGGTAGGTTAAGACGTATCAGTCTATCTTCGTGAGTCACTCAGAAAGATGCTTCACCACTGAACCCTTTCCATTCTGGTGATCAGCGTGGGTTGTCTTCTACGAGACCCTGCTTTACATAGATCCCCACTATAATAAAAGTTTGCCCTCACTATTCACCTCTTATCAATAAAAAATTAACCACGTATGGTCTGCACCTGCAATCAATTTCAAATATTTTCATTTTGAAACTTAAGATCTGAGTGAAGTAACATACTGAGGGCTATACTGAAATCAGTAAAAAATGCATCTGTCGAAGCATTTCTAGTAGCTTTAGTAGAGTTCCGAACTTATGATAAAGATAAATAAAGTCCAAGAATAAATAACTGTGCAAGTTGTTGACATTGATCTTGAGCACTTTAGTGTGTATAACACTAACATAAGTGATGGACGTCGAGTTATTGGGGTCCCAACCGAGTAGGGTGGAAGTGACGTGACCAACAACCAACTTTGAAGTCGCATTTCCTGGTCAGAACTTAGCGTGGATCACCTTTAAGTCATATCCAGGTACTACGGCTGAGCTGGGGACAGTACAACACAAAGGACGTTAGTACGGAAATATATTAGTAAGAGTAGGTTCAAGGAACAGAATGCGGACACCATCTGATGGGCCAGTCCATGGCGTCGTCCTTTAACTTCAGAAGGGTCGGTGAACTGTTCGACAGTCAGTGACCGAAACGTCGGGTGATTGAGCTAGGGCTCAAGAACATTTCACTGGCCATACAAGCTGTCCCACAAAAAAATTTGGTTGAAGGCTGATTCCGACATACTCTCAAACATCACCATCTTTTTGTGGCTAATTGATGTGACTCTGTGCCAAGGAGATCTAGATAACTCCTCTAAAAAAAGCCAAGGAAGGCTCTTAAAACAATGAGAAGCCTCTTGTCCAGTCAGCGTTCTTTAGACGTTTTGCCAGAAACATCTAGAAAGCAAAACGTCACATGTCGAGTTCCTGATTGGGTGATTACTACACTACTACTATGTTTTGTTTATATAGGTCTTTCTCTTTCTTCACATAGAGGAACGCTAAGCAATTATTCCATTGTTGTCAATACCAATATTTTTGTTGCTACGCATATATCTATTCTGTATAATTGTTTTCCACGGAGCCTAGTGGATGATTCTTAAAAGACAATATAGCATGACCATACAAACACGGTTCATTCGCCTCACCGAAGTAGTTCTATCTTTCCAGCATTTGTAATGACAAACGCATTAGATATGCAGTGCAATAGTTAGAAGACTAGTGAATTATAATTGAGACTGTACATTAAATATTGAAAAATATAAATGAATCTTTTGCCCATAATTCACGGCTTTATATTCTTAGAAGCCGCTCCCGTGTTTTTGTTGTGTTCATTACGTAGAAGTTGGACTGTCGTTAACAGTGTCCTACAAAGAGAACTGAAACGTTACTCTTCTGTGTAACCGGCGTAGTGTCAAAACAGAGCAAAATAGTACACAGACGAATGCCTAATCTTATTGCAATCATCCAACTTGTGAATCCATAACGAAGTGTGAAATGTGTTTTATGAATGGAGGGTGGTGCGAAAATGTTTGCTGAATTAATAACTTACAGCTAAGTTACTGAGCACTTAAGAAGCCAGTTAAAAGTGAACGACACTAAATAAGAAATTCAAAATAACCGTCCAACTGCAATTGACAAAAACATACAGATATTCAGTAACAGATCTACACTGCATTAAGCTCATACTTTCTTTCGATCGCTAACCACGCTTGCTTACTTTATCTCTTGCGTCATGCAGTAAAACCTGGCTCGCAACATCTATTACTTGTGCTATTTTTTTCCTGAACAGGTAGCACTGTGGAACCATGAACACGGAACATCTGATGATAAGCAAAGATTGTTGTGCTGCAGAATCTGTAGTTACTGATACCAATCTGGTTTTTATATCCGTGTTATTTGTAAATCATAGCCAGTCCAAGCATCAACATAGGCTGGTTCCTGAATTTCACAAACAATCTCCAGCAATTTGACTACTGAAAGTTTTCGAATACCTGACAAAACTCACGGAGTAATCACGGTACATTTGTTCCCCCAATGAAACTTAGACAATGCTAATTTCTTCTGGTGTTTTTAATGGGAATGTGAAAGTTCAAGTCTCTATGCTCCCGCCACACCTGTCCTTCACAACGATGGATACGCTTCCGATGTAAGCAGCCAATTTGTCGATCTCGCTGGCCAGATCAGCTATTGCATCCAAATCATTTTCAATATTTTGTTATCTTCAGTGGGCGACCTGTTGGCACAAGGTATAGTATGACTAATGTATTCGTTAATAGCAGCCGTAGAAGAATATGGAAGTAATTGTTAGAACACCTCTGTTTTTGATGAATTGCCTTACGAGCGTGTGCTCAATAGATACTTACTTACCTATTAACCAACAATTTCCAGTCAAAATGTTCACAGTCAATAATTCAATTAGCACAAATCTGCAAGGGTTGAAGTTATTACGAGTTCACTTAATCTGTGAATGAGAAACAAGGCTCAGTGACCAAAGACCAGTAAGCTAGCTTTTCGATGCGTCCCAGCCACGCTAACTAGAGGGAGAAGTCCAAGCTTGGAATGGGGAAGTATATTATGCAAAACAGCCAGAAACAAGCGATAACAACAAACACAATTCAAAACGTATATATATACAGTGCAAAACCGTCCTTGTGAAGAGTTACCAAGCAGCATACTAAAAGACACAACGGACCAATAGCATTTAAGATATTTCCCAGTGGGAAATACGACGTGGTGACAAGAGCGCCCTTTGCGCGAAAACAGAGAAATTCAAATTTTCTAAATTAAATTACAAAATTAGGTTTTTTCCTAAGTGAGTTCTGGGGATTTAACGTCCCTATTAACGAATGGTTTCCAGTCAAAATGTTCACAGCCAGTATTTCAATTATTACAAATCCAGCCTCCATTTTAGCAACCTCTAGTTTGTTAGAAGTGTATAAGTCGTTGATTTTTCATTTCACAGCTTTAACGACGAATTAATTTTATATCCTAATCGATTCGTTTCTTTGACTCTTTAGTTATCTGATTCGTCATCTGAAAGCAATTAGTTCTAGTTGATGACAACTTACCAAATTGATGCAATACGTCGCAGAGTCTCAAGGGATGGTGACCATTAGGATATATGCAATCAAGAATATCTGTAGAATTATGGTCTACTATGATATTAGTACTGCTCTAATAATAGACCTAATCCTAAATTTGTAGATTTGTCATGATATAACTGCCTAATCTATAAGATCTTACGTGGAAGTCACACCATCGACTACACCAACTCACTGTATCGTATCAATTACCAATACATGATGTAGAACAAGGTTAGGCTAGAGAAGGAACAATATATTTAATATGAATAGAAGATATAAGGTAACATTCAGCAGAGACCACGCCTCCATGGCCGAGCCATGCCATCCGATCAAATCCAGTCCATTCAATTCATTGTTCTCGCCTTCTCCATTGTTAGGTATTTCTCCGCGTTAAATATTGAATATCTATTTTCTGAGTAGTCTCGCGTTCACAGCTTTGTGGATTGTGTGGCTATTGTCCATTCCCACTACATATCTGTTAAGACAGTATCGTCCCTGTAGATAACCAATTGCTTCTGTAGTGGCATTGGACCATAGCCACACAATCCACAAAGCTGTGAACACGAGACTACTCAGAAAATAGATATTCAATATTTAACGCGGAGAAATACCTAACAATGGAGAAGGCGCGAACAATGAATTGAATGGACTGAAGTTGATCGAGTGGCATGGCTCGGCCATGCAGGCGTGGTCCATCTGAATGTTACCTTATATCTTCTATTCATATTAAATATATTGTTCCTTCTCTAGCCTAACCTTGTTCTACATCATGTATTGGTAATTGATACGATACAGTGAGTTGGTGTAGTCGATGGTGTGACTTCCACGTAAGATCTTATAGATTAGGCAGTTATATCATGACAAATCTACAAATTTAGGATTAGGTCTATTATTAGAGCAGTACTAATATCATAGTAGACCATAATTCTACATTGGTGAGCCCAACTAAAGAAACGCGAACCTATTATTGTTAATCCTTATTTCCACCTTAACCTTCTCAATCGGATTTTTATTTTTGTAAACCCAGTATTCTAATAGTCCTTTGATTAATGGTCACATATATTATCGTAATGTTATATCTATTAGTTCACATAACTTACTAGCTCAATCGATAATAAAAGTTGATCATCTATATTAACTAATTAGCTTTGATGGTTCGTTAACAAGCTTTAATAGCATTTACATGCTTCAGCGACATAGACTTGTTTAAACATCAAGCTCTAGCAAATATGACCTGCAAATAGCGTAAATATACATTGACTAACAATGCAATCAAGGATTGAATAGTTATCTGGATCTAATTCTTAGTGTTCCTTCGCTTAATACCTCATCCTGTTTTAAACTATGCACTATCCTGTAATATCTTTTCTTCCGACCACTGCCTGCCTAATTTCATATTCTCGAGTTCCATTGCCAAACAACAAGGATGACACTTCTCCAAAAAAATACGGTGAGTTCCAGCTATAAGTTTTCTACAATCATAAGTTCATTTTAGATGGCTCA